TTTGACGCGAAAAACTGAGAGAAGTTGAAACAAAGTTGACATGCTGTTTTACCAGGCAGGACGAGTTTCTAAGTGACGGTGCTCTTTTTGTTCTAAAATTACTTTCTCACAGCATTGAAGAGTCTTTTAAGAAATATCGTGATGAGGAAGAACCCAAGAACGCTCAGGTGAATTTATTAATTCACCATAGCAGGACAATTGTATCAGCAGCTGAAAAGAAAAGAGCCGTTAATTCCTTCATTTTTGTCGAGGAAAATTAGTGGAAACAAAGTTGACATGTTGTCTTAACAGGCATGGCGAGTGCTGAAGTTATGGTGATTCGAAGCTATGGTTAAAGAAATACTTTTTTGGCATGTTTTATAATTGGTGACAATTTCCTTACGAAACAACACGGTTTACCATTCTTTTTCAGCAATTTTTAGGATTATTTTACACATTTTATTCAATATAACCATAATTTTAATACGATAGATTCACCACTACTCGTGAATTTAAAATCGCACAATTGAGTTGGTACATTTAAACGCGATCGATTTGAAAAGACTCTATATTAAACCTACTTGGTTTTGCCAATCACTTTTTTTGCGATATTGCTACAGGTTCCGATGGTTTTTAAAATACCTAATTCTATTTAATACTTTAATATGCGTAGTGAAATTTATGAATAATTTGGTGACAATTATCGATATGTTTTTATGCAATCGTAATAAAGCCTATTTACAGGCATTAAAACCTTTTTTCAATTCACTGAAATTTCATTCATCTTGTTCTCCAAAAAAGATATTTAGTCATGCAAGCATATTGAAATGTACAAAGCATTGTATGTGTAAATTAAATTATTTTATGTGTCTTAAATATCTATTTTATTCCGTTCTAAATTAAATTATAATTTTAAATCTAAAATTTTTCTTTCGAGTAAGAAATCTTTGAAACTTAACTTTGCTCTGAAAAGTATCAAATACCATCGAAATATTGAGAATTGAATTTAAACAAATTTATATTTCAAATTTACAGGACTTCTCGAAAATATTTCCATAATATTATGGTGATTTGCATATGATATTCCTACTTAAGCTCAAGAAAAAAGTTATCTTTTCATTTTTAAAAAATGTTGATACCTCAAAATATCTTTGCTTTTTTTTCAAACTAGCTTCCCTAACAGAAAATTGTTATTTTTATTTGGCAGAATAAAAACGTCATATTAAATGACATTCTTATTAAATTTTTAGCTGCGTAAATTGAAATATCGGAAAAATAAATAACGCAATTTCGATGGAAAGGAAATATTTTCTTCAATTTTGAAATTTCTGGAGAAAAGATTAAACTTTTTTGAAAATGTATAAATACAGCTGAATCTAATTTTAAAGTAATTTGAAAGAAGAAATTTGTTGTTGCTCGTTTAGAACTTTTATTTCTTACGTACTAGCAATATTATGTATGCAGAACATAATATAAACCTAAAATATTTTTTTATAAATATTTTAGATCCCCGATAAAGGAGAATAGAGTAAAGTTTAATAATAAGTAAAATATCAAATGATTTTAATAAAATTTTGAGATCATCGTGTTTTTGAATACCGTAGAAATATGTAGGATCAAGGGGGGAAAGGTAAAGAAAATCATTATTTTATAACTTTTTCGAAATTACATAAATTTATTAAATATTTTCATATTTGTTGAACATTTTTAAAAAATAAATTGATTTTCATTTTAAGTCATTTCTTTCAGTTCATTATTATATTTTGTATTTTTTCAATAAAATGTTTTAATATGCTATATAACTTGTGGGTGGATTAAAGCGCTGATATTGGATGAAAGACAACTAACGTTGTAATTTGTTTAAAAAAAATTTAGAAAAGAAACAGTATGGACAAAACTTTTACACAGATGTGAAACTTACTTATGCTCCATTGATTGTCTGACTTGTTAAGTCAAGACGAAACATAATTTTAAACGTATAAACACATTTTTTAGTAAAAAATTAGTTTTAAACCCAATAATTTATTGCAATTAGTTAATTTAAGTAAACTTTTTACTTTTTTTCATTCTTAACGTAATCATAATAATTTATACTTAAGTTTTTCTCATCCCCTAATTATAATAAACGAATACTCAACTTTTAATTAACCTTAAGATAATGCATATTTTTTGTATATTTCACTTAAAATTGTATGAGACTGAAATAGATAGAAAAACTAACAGTTTTTCTTGCAAAAGAGTTTCAAATTTTCTAAAAAATGGAGATTGTATACATATAAAAAATGGAGATTCTATATTTATATATATATATATATAAGTTCAAAAAGAAGATAAAAGAAAGGAAAATTATAGACATATGCAAAAGGGGGGGGGAATAATAATTAATGAAAAAAATAGCAAACAACTGATTAAAAGAAAAAAAAGGATGAAATTTTAAAAAAAAAGGAAAAGAACTGGAAAATAAAAGATATAATCTTTTCATCAGCCCACACGATTATATCCGCAAAAAAGAGTGTGGGCTAATAAAAAGATTATATCTTTTATTTTCCGTTTTTTTTTTTAATTTCATCATTTTTTTTTCTTTTTTTTAAATCAGTTGTTTGTTATTTTTTTCATTAATTATTATCCCCCCCCCTTTTGCATATGTCTATAATTTCCCTTTGTTTTATCTTCTTTTTGAACTTATCTAATGAGTTCTATTTACTTGCAACTTATACGCAATAAATGAAACTTATTGTTTTTCTTAACTTTCTTCGTGTTTTCTTGTAATTAATTATTTTGTTTTGTGTGTATATATATATATATGTATACATAATTACATATATTCACAATTTAGAATGATATATATATATATATATATATATATATATATAAATATAGAATCAATGTTTTTTGATTTATAATT